TTTTGGGAGAATTCAATTTTTTGTTTTTATGTTGCAGACATGGATTAGATATGCCAGATGTGACGTCATTTTGATAGAAAGTAAGAAAAATATCTATGCTTGCTTTGGTAATTTAAAACATTGTCAACTTGTGTGTAATGTATAACACCATTGTATGTATATATTCCTGTATGTATATCCGGGGACTAAGTTGTCTCCAATGAGAGAGAGAAAGAAAACAACTTCGTTTTTGGAGTTTTGAAAAATCACGGGCCTTTCTTGAATCAAAACAAATAAAGACAGTGATGTAAACTGAATCCCAAAATGTTTTGAGACAAAGATCAAGGATTGGTTGAGAGTTGAAACTTGAAATTGATTATTTTTAATATCACACCAACTAAAGAGAGTACAGTGTTGTTTGGTTCTGCTGCCTCGTGAACATTAACCGAGCAAGTAAGTGGTCACGCGCGTGCGCCGAAGCTTACAAAAAAGCTCGACTCTTTGAGCCAACGGCTATTAATCTCAGTCAGACTCATGGCTTTTTAACTGTGTCAGTCAGTAAAAAGTTTAAATTTTTTACACTTTTTATCATTATCATCATCACAAATTGTACCAATACTATACTCCTTCATCATCATCATGACTTTCCTCTGTCAGTAACTCATAATGAGATGAAGCAAAATTCATTACACATTTTCTTTCTTTTCATTAGACCTTTTAAGCCTTTAAAATCAAAATTAAACAATGAGCCATAATGAGAATAACCAGCACAATTAACTTAAATCCACCCTTTTGGATTGATACAAGCATCTAATAGCTTCCATTCCTCAGTTCCTTCTTCTGGTTTCTGCATCCGTAACATAAGAGAAAAAATCATCAGTACAATCAAAATTTTTGGTTTCTTGATGTTTATAACATGTTAAGCAACTTTACATGGTCATATTCCCGTCTTGCGGAGAGACAAGTATACTCTCTATTCGCCCTCCTGTTTCCAGACCAAATGTTGTTCCGCGGTCATAAACCTTTTTCGTGTGCATCAATAACAAATACATGAGAGGAGGTGGTAATAAAATGATTGAAGAGGCAATGTGAACCGAAAAAGCTAGTAGTGTATCTAATTTACCAAGTTGAATTCAACGTATCGCCCCCTTCGTAATTGTTGCCATGCCTTGTGTTGCTCGTTAAATGGCGTGTCTTTACGTTTCGCTATTATAGGTATATAAGCTGGTATCACTGAGCTTGCACATTCTGCAAAAAATCACTTCACTGTTCGAATTAGCCAACTAGGAACTTTCAAGACACAAAATATCTTAAGCTTGTTTGGCCATTACCAGTAGCAAATGACAGAAGCATTTCCTGATCATAGTCATTCAAATCATCAAAAAATATCCCTCCAAGTCCTCGCCTCTCGTCACGGTGCTGCAGGCAAACCATCCGCGACAACTTATCATTGCATCATCAACTTAAGCAAACCTTGAGACTCTATATCAATCCCTACACAGACATGACTCTTAGCCTAAGGTCTTTAATTCCAGAACATACTAAGACCATACAAAACAAATCGGAATGATGGTAAACTAACTGCATACATGACTCTAATCTCTAAGCCTAAGGGTCTTTAATTCCAGAACATACTTCTCACAAAACAAATCGGAATGACGGTTTACTAACTGCATACATGACTCTAATCTCTAAGCCTAAGGGTCTTTAATTCCAGAACATACTACGATCTCACAAAACAAATCGGAATGATGGTTTACTAACTGCATACATGACTCTAATCTCTAAGCCTAAGGGTCTTTAATTCCAATACTACGATCTCACAAAACAAATCGGAATGATGGTTTACTAACTGCATACATGACTCTAATCTCTAAGCCTAAGGGTCTTTAATTCCAGAACATACTAAGATCTCACAAAACAAATCGGAATGACGATAAGCTAACTGCATACCTTGATGTAAAAGTAGTCATCACACCATTTCTTGAACCGAGGGTAGAATGACGGATCGAATTTATCACAGGCTTGCTTTTGAATCTACAAAAAGAAAGACATTCAATCAGCAATTCCAAAACCACAAAGCTCTCAACTTTCAGAACAGAGGAATATGGTTTAAAGACCGAATGGAAGTGTTTGACGTCCTCTTCGAAGATGTAAGCAGGTGTAAAATCAGTCCCACCACCAAACCACCATTGCCTCGGAGCTCCAGGAACATCTACTCATCAAAACTAGACAATCAAACACTTTATCCAACAAAAAAATTATTGAAACTTTACAATCTCTTAGACAATTTAAGCTATACCCTTTGGAGCATCAGTCTCAAACTAGCGGTAATTGAAATGCAGAGTCGACGCAAAAGGGTTTTTAGGGTGCAAGACCTGGAATTTAGACATGAATGTGCGATCAATCTCAATCAAAGAACTAAAGAGCAATTCAACGACAATGTACAAGAGAGAGGGAAGTTACTGAGCTGATTCCGGCGGCGAAGAACGGAATCGGACCGGGTTTTTGCTCAGATGAGGCGGCTTTAGCAGCTCTATAAGCTTCAGGAGCCATAACACCATAAACCACAGAGACATTAACTCCAGCTTTCTCCCAGACATTTCCATCTTGCAAAACACGGCTGATTCCGCCGCCTCCGCCAGGTCGAGACCAAACATCTTCCTTAAACTTAGGACCTCCTTCAACTGCTTCAATGGCTTCGCAGACATTATCCTGAGCAGATCTTATCATTGTCTCGAAACGAGCCCTAACCGAAGAAGAATGGGAATCACCATCGGAGTCTCTGAGGAAAGTTAAAGGTCTTTCGGGTTCTGGAACTTCTTTCCCTATAGAGACTGAACATCGTAAATCGAAATCGGATCTCTTTGAGGGACGAGGAAAGTGTAGAGTGAAGAAACTCG